CTGCCTCAGTCCATATCCTGCAGCTAGCAGGTGGCGGGGGTTCAACCGTCCTAGCTGCCTCATGGCAAGTGCCTGCACCACCAAACTCTGCATGTTGGCACTCCACCCAGTCACTGGAAAAAAAATGGATGGTTAGGAAGTATGAAATAAATCAAGCTTGTTGTGACAAATTTAACTATAAAAGTCAGTATGTCAAAATGATTGCGGTATCAATGATATTCATTAACAGACTGAATTCATTAAAACTTAAAAAATATGCACTCCACAGCAAGAGTCAAGACTTAAAGGAATACTTCGTTCCCCAAATGACCATTTGTATATGAATTACTCACCCTGTGTTACGTTGAATATGTGAGGAAGACATTTTCCTTGCACTGTGTTCAACAGCAGTAAAACTATATTGAAACATCTGATTTAAAAACTCTTGTACAACTCGTGCAGTATAATCCAAGTGGCATTTGTCCAGCTGTATGCTCAGTAGTTCCCAAACACATTGCACTACCTTGCCATCAGTAGTTTTACTTAAGGTGTGAGAAGTACTGATCATACAGCTGGATAAACGAGACTTGGATTATACTGCATGAGTTGTGCAAGAGTTTGTACACAGATGTTTTGATATCATTCAAAAGCACATGCCCTGTGCACAGCGTTGCCCGTCCTTTTAACGTGGGGCAGGTGATGGCAGGAAACATCAGACTGATAGTAAAAAAGCAGATAGACCACACACAAGACGAATTGCTTCTTCTTTTAATCCTCTTGCGTGTGGTGTATCTGCTCTTTTACTATCAGTCTGATGTTTTGATACATAATTTCACTATACGTTTAACGTGTTTCCCATTGACTTCAATTCATCAATGATTGCTTTTTTGGATTCTTGGTATACAGGTGGCATGCAAAAACAAAAAAATGTCTTCATTATGAGTTCAACATAACACAGGGTGAGTTAGTGATATACAGCTGGTCATTTAAGGGTGTGAAGTATTCTTTCAAGAATACTCAGGAGTCTTTGCTGTAAATCAACCATTGAAATAATTTGTCAACTGCTTTCCCATCATGTCCTAATTTAAAGTATAATTTAACTATTTATACTAATAATTGTGTTATTTTAAAAGGGAAAATGTGAAGTATTTTCATGCTTGATTTCATGTTCAAACACCTTTGTAAAGCTCAAGTTAAGACTGTCTGAATTATAAAGTCTGCAACACTATCCAGCAAATTCAAAATTTAATGTTACTTTCAAAATAAAAGCCTAATTTTATTTCTAGCCCCGGTTTGTGTCTTGTAATAATATATTTTTCTTTATGACTGTTGCACTAATTATTTAGTAAAACAATGGATTAGGGGAAAAAAAACTTTTGTTAAACTACTAATGTTAAATAGTTTATCTTCCGGAAATTATGTTTTGATGCCTTACTTGACACTAGCAAACGTCTAACATTTATGAGAGGTAGCGCTGTCCCAGCTGAGGATTACTAGATTCTGTCTTTTCATATTAGGAGCTCTTTGTGTACCTTTATTCAAATGATGCCTCTGCTTGACTGGGCTTGTCATTTTTCAGGATGTTGTTTAAACCGAGCTGAAGCACACACAGCTAGCTAGCTTCACTTTTCTTCAGGAGGCTCGTGGACCCGTTATTTCAGTCCACGTGCAACACGCCACGAGCTAACGAGCCACTAAACAGTGTCGCTTGTTTGACTTTGTTGCTAAATGCTAAATATGAAGTTGCTAACACGCAATAAATATTCATAGTCCACTCACCTATGGAATAACCTTTCATAGCCAGTTACACTACTTCGTCGGCACCTCTGACTGTGTTACTTATTTACCAGCTGATGTAAATGTGCTGCCACCTACCGGACTGGAGGTGAATGACATGACCTGGGCGAGCTGTTCAGGGACCAAACCACGGTGGGATTTTACAGGTTGTTATCCAAAACAGACAAAATTCACTGGGATATTCTTTATTATTGTTCTTCTTCTTCTGCTTCTTCTTCTTCTTATTATTATTATTGTTGTTGTTGTTGTTGTTGTTGTTGTTGTTGTTATTATTACTATTATTATTAATTGTAGCGTGACAATTTCCAACTTCATGATGCTGACATGATCTACAATAATATCTTAGCCAAAAATAACTAAATACATCAAAGTCAAAGTAGTAAATGAATGCCACACACTGTAGCTGTGTCGCTATCAAACGTATCTTCATTTATTTTCATACAAGGTAATACTATAAGGTAATAATATAACCAATATAACCAAAACTAGAGTGATGGTCAACTTCTGGCTTCTGATAAGATGTCAGGTACCCCCCCAGGTGCACATTAAAAATTTAAGTAATTTAATTTACATTAATAATTTTTGGTTTAAGTTGTCAGAGTGTGTAAAAAAAAAGAAGAATAAAAATAGAGTTTGTTCATCAAACAAAGGCCAGGGGAGGATCCCCCAGATCCTCCAACAGAGGTCTGAGCCAAGCCCAAATGTCCTCAAATCCAAAAAACACCCCCACGTTCACCTGACCTGTGTACAGCTGCTGCGTCTGGCCCCTGGCTTCCTCTCATTTTGCAAAATAGGCCCCCTGGCAAGGCAGTTTGAGGATCCTTGGACTAGAATTTATTTTAATGTTCACCATCTTCGAGGTAAATGGCTAATCTTACTTATTGTTGCATGACGTCAGCTTTTTAGTGTGTGCCACTGTCATTTATTATGTATTAGCCATTTTCTAAAGGATTTAAAAGTAGTACAACCAGAGAACAAAATCTAAATGAATATAAAGTTTGAAGTGTAAAGGTACATCAGATGTAGGCCTAAATAATCTCTAATTATAACAGGAAGAATAAACATGCTTTGCCTTATACTATTTATGTACAGAATTTAAACACAGTCAGTTTTATAGGCCTTTCACCCACCATAGATTCTGACTTGTCATAGGTCATAGTAGGAAAAGCAGAGGTCTTACTGATAACATTAACAATGGCTCTGTTGTATTCAGGTGTCCCAGTAGGCCACGACAGCACGACAGTGAGCCAGCATGCACAATGAATACATACACCTGAGTTTTTCCTATGATGTCAAAATGTCCATGAAAAGTATCTGAGGATCCAAGGCAGCAACATTTTTTTAAATATACATGGGTTTGCCCCAAACATTTATTGCAACTTTTATTTTTCCAGCATAAGATAAAATTGAATACATATTTTAAAAGGTAATCAAGTTATTTATACAGCCCATTTGATTATAATAACAACAAGAATATCTTTAACAGTTTTACAAGAAGCCTTAAGTGGTCGTGTGTCGTTTAATGTCTGAGCATTTATCAATATATCAGCTTGAATACTTTATTATTTCATAGGAATTTACATCAACATTCAGCTTCACTACAATTCATAATGTCTAGTGTCACTTCAAGTGCATAATACTGTGTCACCACATTATTGAAAACAATGTAAGAACAATATGTTATTTGCTAAGACGTATACAATGTGTTCCTGTTAGATGTCATAAAAAAGTCAGTATTATAAAGTTTGTATGATGTCCATATGTAAACATAAGTGCATTTACATCCTTGCATATACTGTCTGCAAAATCTCCTCAAAAGAGTCAGGGATCCTTCAGATAGATCAGATTTCAACATCCAAAATCTCTTCAGGAAAGATGTTGACATGTTGTGTGTGCTGTGCTTTTTATCTAAGCACATTCAATGTACAATGGACAGTGAAATCACCATTTTACAGATACAAAATGGAGCATTATTCCTTTACAATAGACACATAATGGGGTTATACTACAGTATATCATGTACGTGTGCTGGTGGTTTACATTCATGTTTTATGGTTACTAACAAATTTTCTTAGCAGAAGAAAATCATGCAAATTTGAGCATGAGTTTAATGACCTTATGATCTTTTTGCAGTTTAATCCACGCTGTGGTTTGTCGTTCGACAGATGATAATGATGTGAAATCCAACTGTTGAAATGTAGTGTAGAGTCAATGTAAGCCCGTCCTTGTCTCTTCTGACAAGATTATTGTGATGACATGTGTATGTGTTTGAACCACAGTTGCCGGCAGGTTTTTGTCGTGGCAGTAGGTAGAAAAAAAGCCCAAAAATGTACTCTCTTATTTTATCACGGGTGACTGATTTTTCAAAACGTGTTTTAGTTTGTTAAGGTGAGGGCTCATTTGACTCAACAGCATCAGAGCTCCCAAAAAAGTCCTGTTTCTGGGTCAGTCAAGACAAATCATGTGTCAAACGTTAAAGCAAAAAAACAACCTAAAACACCTTAAAGGTCCAGTGTGCAGGATTCAGGGGGATATACTGAAATGGAATATAATATAATAAGTATGTTTCCTTTCGTGTATAATCACCTGAAAATAAGAACTACTGTGTTTTTGTTAGAATGAGCCATTTATACCTATCTGCATAGGGAGCTGATTCTTGTCTTGTTCTTGTCTATGAAGAGTGCCATGTTGCACCACCATGTTTCTACAGCAGGCAAGAACAGACAAACCAAACATTGGCTCTAGATAGGGCCATTTGTGCTTTTGTGTTTGTTTTTTCAGTGGTTTAAATCACCAAGTCTGGTTGTTTTTGAGAGGAAGAGACCTCTGCAATTAATCCGGCTCCTGATTGTCTGGATCTTAACTTTTTCGAGAAAAAAGGTGAGCAAACATAAGCAGATGCTGGGCTATCAGCCTGTCTCCAACAAGCCAAACAGCATCAGAGAATCACTTGTTTGTGATGTGAAACTGCTTTACTAAGTGTTTTTATTGGTTTTAATCCCCTGGTCTGTTTGTTTTAGAGAAGAAGAGACCTCTGAGGATAATTCAGCTCCTGGAAACAACCTACTGAAGATCTGGATCTTAAGTTATCAGAGAAAAAAGATGAGTTAAGACTTTTTTACCGGTTTAAATCCCCTGGTCTGTTTGTTTTTATAGAGGAAGAGAAATTCGTGGATAATTTGGCTCCCAGCAAAATCCCAGCAAAGAATTCTAACTGGGAGAAGTTTCGGCTGGTTGCAATCTGAAATCCTCACTGCAGAATGCCACTAAATCCCCCTAAATGTTACACACTGGTTCTTTAACAATTAAAGCATCCAAACTATGACAATGCGTCATCACACTTAGAGAATTCCAGCGGAGGTTTGTCGGACAAAACGTTTCAAAACATCAGCTGTAAACATCAGATTTAGGTGAAAGTCTGTCAACATCCAAAAGAAAAGTACGTTTCTCTCTGGAGCTGCCATATAGCACCAACAGTCAACAGTCCAACAGTGAGAAATCCATTGTAGAAGAAGCTATATATCAGCTATATCAAATTCTCCATCCCACAGCAGCCTCAATAGAACAGAATGTAATGTAACCACAAAGACAGGTTTGCTCTGAGGACAAGGACACAATCCATTTTTGATCTCAGTTAAAACAGCTGTTTTTACTCTCTTTATGTCACTGTTCACCTACTAACAAACCCCACAGCTGAAAGTGAGTTCGTACCTGTTTTCTGCACTCGTCACAAGGCATTCTGCAGAAAGTCACTAACTGAAGTAGAAATACATGAGGCATGTTGATAAAAAAAGTAGGTACAAAGTCAAATTACAACACTTTACACAAGTAATGTAAGTTTTCAAACATTATAGATTGGTATAACAGTGAGTGAGAGAATCCAGAGTTCCTTTGTCTCTTTGGTCGGCAGGTTTCCGTGTTGACTATTGTCTATTTGTGACATGCATAAGCCGACACGCTTCACTGATGTTCCTCCTTTTACTTTTTCACTTATAAGGATATTTATTTTCACAGTTATTGCTGTAGTTATCTGACTGGTCAGTGTTTGCGTTACTGAGATTTCACTGAATAAATGAGGTGTTTAACCTGCCCGTCTTCTTCGTGGCCTCTGAAAGGGTCGTATGAGGTAACTGCAGCTTCAGTTTCACATGTACGGTACATATGAGACCTTAAAAGGTATGGCAATGATGTACAGTGTAACAGTCTGTGTCTGCTTGGTTTTCACTGGAAGCCAGGCAGATATAATTTGTCCACGTGCGTGTATCCTCGGAGGTTCACATACCACAATAGCATTGTTCTCCACTCACTAATCACTGTTATTGCTTTGGTGATTCACACATTCAGGATTCAGGCATTTGTTGCAGATAGTATGACAATACAGCACAGATCTGTGTATCTCACATTAAGACATGTTTACACACTCTTGTTTCTGATGTGCAAAGTGTTTGTATGCTACAGACATGCCACTGTCAGTGACTGCATAGTCATAAGGAAGTCTCCACGCAGGAGCCATTTCTGTGGAAAGATCTGTGGTTGTGGCAATTCTCGCTACAGTGAACTATGAGCACTGGGTAGCAAAGTGCGTCCTCATAGTCTGGGGGTTCCTCATCATCTGTGGTGAGGCGCTCTGAGAGACAGCGGGTGTTCTCGCTGGGACTCTCCTGGTCATCCAAGCTGCCACTCCTCCAGAAGCAGCTGCGCTGGGAGCCGTAGCGTCGCGCCAAGGAGAAGCGACTGCTGCTGAAGGGTATGCGGGAGCTGGCACCAGTACAGACGCTGAGGGCACTCCTGGAGAACACAGAGGAGCAGCTGATGGCTCTGTGGCAGCGTTCACAATTCTGACGTATCCCGCTGAAGCTGGTCGGGCACTGGGCCAGGTCCATCAGGCCAGCCTCTGAGTAACTGGGCACCAGTTGCTGGTTGGAACGAATGTGCCATTCCAGTTCTGTACTGTCAATGGTGTTAACACGAGGGATGCGACGCCAATATGGCCGATCATCACATGGGGTCACGGGGAGGTAATCGTGCCCAAAGAGCTTCTCAACACGATAGTGGACATATGCAGTGTGATACTCTGTGAAGACTCTGAGAGGCCAGGAGAACGTGAGGAGTGAGGCAAACCAGAAGACGTAATGGGACAGGTACCAGGGGTGGTGGTCCGGGTCGGACAGCACCATGACATACTCCTTCAGGTCAATGTTTTTCAGGTGCATGCCCTCCCTGGCTTCCATGTAGTCATCAAGGCCCTCATTGTCGGTGAAAAACCTTGCTCGCTGTGTAAGGTAGGAATTCTCTGACTCTACATTGGCAAAACTAAAGCACTTGGTGAACCGCATCTTAGTAAGAGCAGACTTCTCCAAGCCCAGCAGCTGCTTTGAAACATCCTTGACACCACAGTGACCGTAGTCAAATTCAGCCTCTGCCACATGAGTGTTGACACGTTCATGGTAAACCTGGGTACTGGTGTAAGCGTCTCCATTCCGGTAGCGTGTGACTTGTCGTGTTCGGCGAACGTAGTGATAGCTGATGGCCTTCCACCAGATGCAGGGTTTGGCTTGCTGCATCCTTTGGATGCGCTCGTAGATGCCCTCCACATCCACTTTGTGCTGCAGCTCATTCTTCACATGACAGTGCCAACACTCCACCAGATAGACTAAATAGAGCATGCCCAGTAGAGCCAGAGGGATGTAGATATAGCCGTCAGAGCAGGGACTGTCATGGTACATCATGGATTTCCCTTTGAAGGCACTGTCAAAGGTGAGGCGGGTCACCTTGGTGACATGACACCAAACCATCGCTCCCATGCAGCCGTACATGAGAATGGACAAGAGGAGGCATTTCCAAAAACTCTCCCGGCAAAGTGACTTGCTCAGAGATTGCTTCAGGGGTCTTTGCTGTTGAGTCAAAGCACAAACAAAACAAAAGAGGAAGTGATAAAAGTGTAACCATACACAAGAGCGTAGGTTTCCTTTAAACACTGGGGGGACAAATATGAAATGTTGGGTTTGGTGGTCCTCTGCCAGAAAATCTTGAGCATCAAACACTTCATTTTCTGCATTATGGAGGATTCCAATTTTATTCTTTTGTGCCCCAAAAATAAGAGGGATCTGGTTCTCACTACACAGGGTCATCTAGCCACACAGACACGACCTCAGGTAACAAACCTTGGTGTCATTTTAGATTCTGATCTCAATTTCAAAGCTAATTTTAATATATTAACAAAAACTGCATTTTATCATTTGTGCAATATAGCTTATGTATGACCTCTACTGAGCCAGCATGATGCTGAGAAGTTTGTTCATGCTTTCGTTTTCAGTCGTCTTCACTCTTACAATGCTCTATATACTGGCCTGCCTAAAACTGCCATGGCAAAACTACAGAGCATTCAGAATGCTGCTGCCAGGGTTTAAACAAAAATTAAAAAAGGAAACCATATAACTCCTGTTGTACGTAATCTACACCGGCTCCCAGTATCTTTTAGAATTGATTTTAAAGTCCTTTTATTGGTTTTTAAGGCTCTTAATGGCTTTACCCCCTCCTTATAGATTCCCCATCACCTTAGGTCCATCCACAAACCCTGAGATCCTCCACAGCTGCTCTTTTAACTGTTCCTAACGTCACTACAAAAACCTCTGGCTCAGTCACTTTTAAATGATGACTCAGAACATTAATTTTCAATATAGCCTATAACTAGCAGCTATCTGTTTTAATAGTTTTATATGTATTTTTTATTATTTGATTGATTAACTGATTGATAAGTTAATGTATTCTTCTCTTCTCTCCTTGAATGAGTGTTGTATAATTGTATGGTTTTATTTCTTTGCTGTTTGTCTCTGCCACTGAATTGTAAAGCGCATTCTGTGCATGAAATTTGCTTTATTCATTCATTCAATTTAAGGTTTTAATGTATCTAATTTAGTCAAAATGAAAGTCATCTGCTACTTACTTGTTGTTACTGGGAGGACAAATGCACGTTATAAATATTGAGATGGAGGTGTCGCCTGTGCCCACCCTGAAATTTACGCCTGTGATTTATCACCTACTTAAAATGACATTTTGCTTGTTAATAATTGCAACATCTTCAGCACAATAAGGATTTTCAACAGACTTGGACTGCAGCTCTGTGAACATTTTAAGAGCTGGAGAGATGTTAACATGAAATCAGAGCTACTGGCTCTCTACAGCAGATGATAGATGAAAGACAGGTGAAGATGCTGGGATTACCAATCACACGTGTCCACCCATTTTACTCTGAAATGATTATTGAAGGCTGCAACATCATAGAAATTCTCCTGTGTCAAACTGCAACCAAGGATATTATTTATAACCCCAGATAATCCACCTGCAGTGTGTTACATCCTGCACACATGGACCCACTGAAGCCCTGCGCCAGCATCCAACACACACAGCATAACACCAGACGTTTGCTCATATATGGCATGTTGGAACAACCATACCTCCTCCCTGGTGTCCTCCTCGAATACGGTGGTCGTACTGCTTTCACTCGCTGTCGCAGCCGATGCTGGAGGGGACATGGTGCTGGTGGAGCTCTTGGTGATAATGACAGGGCGTGGAGTAGGAAGAGGAAGAGATTTCACTACCTTGCTCTGCAGAGACCCTCAACCAAGACGTGCTCCTTGCCAGACGTGCATCACATCTGTTATCATTTAGAGCCACTCCGCCCTGAGAGAAGCCCGAGACGAGTCGACGGAGGCATGTTGGTTGGTGAAACCCAAAATAAAGGGATCTTTCCGGTGGCTGAGAAACTAAAAAAATAAAAGGCGAGGGGGTGTCTGTAGGAAAGCCTGCATCCTGCCCTCTGCTGTTAAGCTGTCAATGCCGCAGTAACATGATCGTAGATTATGCTGTATTAGCTGGTAGTCATTACAAAATGAACATGCCCTGCCCCTGGGGGCCCGCTGTGAGTGTGTATCAGTGTGTGTGTGTGTGTGTATCAGTGTGTGCAGGAGGCGCCGTTAGCAGTGTATGCAGAGAGCTGGCAGGGTCGCTGTCCGTGGTGCTGACTGAGGCAGGTGTACGGTGAGATGTTGTTGCATAAATCTGTCACTGAAAGGGGAAGTCCACCCTAAAACTGAGTCTGAAAGTGTGCAGTGGAAGTGATGATGAGGCGATGAAGACAATATATTTGTAAAATACACAGGACTGTTTTGCTAAGCTGCAAATCACAGCATCAAGACAAGTGTTGATCAGGTGACACTTTTGGAGGTGGTCCATATTCAGTGATTTAGGTCTATATATGGTGATGACTGAATCTGTCTGCTCTTTTAATGAGCACAGGCAAAACACTGCATGCAAAGGAATTTTAATTTTAAAAAAAATCAGACATGTGAATCAGAAAATGTCTTCATATATCCTAATAAAATAAACAGGATCCAAAGAGTTGCTTCAATACTACAGAATAAAAAAATATTTGATTTTGGGGTGGATTTTCTCTTTAAAAATAAAATAAAATAACCACCAGCAGGCTAATGTCACACTGTTAGAGATCCACGAGGATGTGATACAAATATCACAAAATATACACAGCCAAGTAGGAACACACTCTGATTGACTATAATATTTAAATAATTTATATATTAAGTCATTTATTAATAATTGCTCCATTTTTTATTTAGATTTTTTTTTAAATAATATTAGATGAATTGGATATCTTTAGGTTTAGTGAAGTGCAGTGATGGAGGAAGTCCTCAGATCCTTTACTTGAATACAAGTAGTCATACAACAATGTAAAAATTCTGCATTCAAAGTTTCTTTTAAATAAAAGTAAGCAAATATTATCAGTAACTAATCAACAAAAAATTAATCAGCAACAATTTTGATAATCTGTAAAGTATTTTTAAGCAAAAAAATGACCATACATTATCTATTCCCAGCTTCTGAATTGTGAGGATTTGCTGTTATTTGTCTTATATGAAAGTGAATTTAAAGATACAAAACAACAAATGGCCAGCTCTCTCAGTGTAAAAGTCCATGGTACAGGCAGGCAGTCCCAAAATGCATCTGAGGTACTCTGATTATAGTTAATAAATTATTAATGCATGGATAAACCAACACGTTTTCACTAGAGGGTCCTCATCAGTCTACATCTTCATCTTACACCCTGATGAAGACTCTCTAGTCAAAACTCATTGGTTTATCCATCCATGTATTAATGAAGGATTTTTAACTACAGTACCTTGGACTTTTGGAGTGAGCTGGCCAGTCATTGTTTTTTATCTTTATATGACTGTTTGCCCCATCCTCGAAGAGCTCCTGAGTTTTTATAACTAACTACATAGTGCCTTGATCCAATGGAACACTCCCTATTTTTTTCCTTAGTAAATAGAGTACCTTCAGGCTTTAAGAAATTGTGAACAACATTTTTAACTATTGTCAGACGTTTTATACCACAAGGAAATAATGGGCAAGGTAAGTAATACAGTAATGTTTCATTGGGTTGCACATTATGTAAAATGTTTAAAAACTTTTGCAAGTATTTAATAAATGTAACAGCCAAGGCAGCAACTTTTTCCAGAAACCAGTGGAACAAACATAAAATGTAGTGCAATACAGCAATGAGACAGAAGTATACATCTACCCCTTGAATCAAAGTAAGGTTTATATAATTTGAGTGTATGGAGTTATGGGTATGATAAATAATATGAAGCACAACCAGTCTAGTTTGAACGTCATTAAAAAATACTTTTTAAAAAAACATGCATGTTGACATAGCTCAGCTGTATGCCATGAAAGAGACTCCACCAAATATCAAAATCATATGAAACTCTGTATCACAATTATACACACAACATCTTAAAAAAATACAAAGAAATCTCTTCAGAAACTCGTTCAAAGTCTCAGAGGGTGAAATGATCTTACTTACATTTTGCTAGTTTGTTTAGTTGTTTAACGTACAGGTTACTTGCCTTTAGTGATACACATGCACAAGCACAGTTTAGCAGTGTATAAAAACATGTTACATATATTTAACTGTTTCGATGATGTTGTTAATATGAGAGGTTTCAAATGATTATACGTATATGAACATTAGAGACACTGCCTACAATGACATGATAGTGAGTTACTTACTAGATTGTTTTTTATCCTTATCTGTGAGTCAAAGAACTTGAACAGCCCGGACCATACAGCTGTAGTCCTTTTAAAGGTAAATGTGTTCATAGAAGAAGACACTGAAGAGTCTGTTTTAACCAGACACTTGTAAATTCAGTGAGGAGTCCAGGTGTAGACCAAACTGCAGGACAATCTTCAGCCACAGGGTGATTTCTTCCTGTTGATTACATCATGTGAAGCTGCTATTTCCAAACTGTTTACTGCTTTTCCCAGGGTCTCCTTTTCTGATGACAAAGAGAACCCTTAGAGGGAAAGAGAATAAAGGTTATGACCGAACCAAACACTTCACCAAGGATTATACTCCTCAAAGGGTTTCATAGTTGTTGTTCTTCTTCAATTCTGAGGTGGGTACAGGAGTAAAGAAACAGCATTAAACTGCTTTTTTGGCTCAACCTAGAATCAACCTGCAACAACATTTTGAAACTCAGTTCCACCTTTGCCAGAGCCACTTACAGAGTACATGTTGGAGAGGGTGTTGAAGAGCTCTTGACCTGCGCTCACTTTGTTCCTCACTCCTCGTATGGTCCCATTCTTGCTACAGATATTGATCCGTTTGTTGCTGAAGAGCCTCTCTCTCTTGGCACTGGCATACAAAAGCAAGTCATCAGGTTCACAGCCGTTCTCGTCCGGAGTGCTTTCCACCACCAGACCATTCAGGTGGCTGTTAGCCTCGCTGATGGAAGGCGAGCTGCCCTGCTCTGCCTCTGGGCTGCTGGTGCAGTCAGAGTCCACTGAGTCCGATACTGAGCCACTCCAGGCCGTTTCATCCTTGAACACCTCCGCCAAGACCCGGCCGCTGTTGGCAGATGCTACTCTAAAGCGAACTGTTTTCCCAGCCTTTTCTTTCTCCTGTTTCATTTTTGGCCCCTCCATTGAAATACAAGACTGTCTTACATGTTTCACATCCCATTCAGAAAAGCCAGACGTGCTCTTTCAGCATCAGCCATAGTGGCGTGCAATTATCAAACAATAAAATCCCCATTGACGTGTCAAAATGGGCCGAAAATACCCTGAGTACAAAAACTAGACACCCAAATGGTTAATAATACATGAGCCTCTGCCATGGTAACAGCTAAAACAGGCAAACAGTAATTGATATAACCATGTTCAATAATTGATCAAGGATACTTTTCAAAGAGCAGATAGACTACAGACCTGTGATCAGTGTTTTGCTTTGTACCTTTAAAGCACCACAGATAACCTTCTGTGCACTTTACTGCGACCTCCATTAACCCTGTCTGTTCCTGAAGTCAGAATAATTGATCAAATATCTACCACAGGAGTATGGGGCACAGTCTCTTTTTGTTAGTGTTACAAATGATGTGCTTTATCATCACTGTTCAGGGGTTTACACCAGACTCAGTGGTTACAGTCAGCCTTCGTGGCTATCAAATTAAGAGTAAAAGCAAGAAATCCATAAAATTGTCACAATTATGAAGAATTTACTTACTTCAAATAATCACAATACATTTTTGTCTCACTGTCACACTGACAAATCTATCACCAGTCATTCGTCACCCTGCTGCTTGGTGGGGCTCATAGGACTTTTCTGCCTGAGGCCATGACAAACTCTTGAACTGCTGCTGCATCACAGCAGACACAGAGTAGGTGTTTCACTCTGCTGAGAAATAAAGATTGGTTCTCAGCACTGAAGTCATTTTTACTTTTACAGCAAATTTACAGAGGAATCTAAAAAAAAGTGGGTATATTAAAATGCATGTTTAACTGTATTTTATGTGCCTTTTTACCTCAGTTTCGTGTGCTTTATATTGTAGGCTACATATTGTATTATTTTTATTATTCTAAGATGCCTAACAACATTAGGTAAACAGACTGCTGATTAAAAACTAGCCTTTCAGCTAACTGATGTGCATTTACATATGTTTGAATGTTGATTAATGTACATTGTCCCTTTCAAGTAAAAAATAAATTCATTTAAATTTAAAAAAAAATTAACACGTAAACAATGGGATGTTTTCATTTCATTTATTATACAGGAAAAAGACTAAAAGTAACATTGTAGTTACAGTTAAACGGGCCTGACTCAGTTTAAAAGTGGCTTACAGCAGGCTCCTGTTCTGCAGCACAAATAGACATGACAAAAACACAGTGCAACAGGACAGTCACATTCTCAAGGCATTGATCACAATCACAACCACAAGACATTAACTTAGTCTAGTACGGACTAAGTCTAGTATGTCTACACAGATGTGTATGTACATATTTCTTATGTTTACTCTAATTCTATTGTTGTTTTATACTACTGATGTATAAATTGTAGTTAAATTTTCACACTTACAGCCTCAGCACAGTGATAAGATGTATTTTATTTTAATATTTAAATCACATTTCATTTCTACTTTATTTTATTTCATTGCTTTATATTTACACTCTTTATTTCATACTCTTATTCCTACTTCTTATGATTCTCTATTCTTTACATCGGCGCAACTGTAACAAATCATAATTTCTCCTTGTGGATCAATAAAGTTTTTCTGATTCTGATTTCTGATTCTGATTCAAAGTATGACATCTATGCAGTGGTATTCTGCTTTTATTTACTTACCAAAACTGAAATACATAGAGCAAGCAAATGTTGCCAAAAAACATATTTACCATCTATTTAAATAATAATAATACTCCCTGGTAAAGCTGGTGACATAAAACTAATAATCTGTCAAACTGTATAATGTACAGCTTTTCAGTCATCAGACAGTGGATCGGTCTCTTTAAGCAGAGTCAGTGTTTTGATTGTACATTACTTATACTGTACAATATGCAGTGGCTTTACATAAACAAATCATCAATTCCTTCATGTCACCCAGCAGGCGCAAACCTGTATTTCCACTCCAGGCCTGTAGATGGTAGTAATGCTGCTACTGATTCACCACCACCGAAGAAGAAGAAGCCTGACTACCGCACGTGCAGCACAGTGTCAACATGGGGAAAAGAAGGCAGAATAAGCAGCTTTTCACAAGTTTATCCAAAAAACAGAAGAAACACTTGAAAGAATTTGGAGAGGAGCATCCATTTCATGATGTGTAAGCAGCTCAGCAAACTTCGGCCCGTTGTAAAGGAAAAATGTAGCTACTTTTATGTTAGCCAACTAGCTAAGTTACATTCACACCACTGTATCAAGTCCAGCAAGATAGATATAAGATAGATATTTATTATTAGTAAAATATAAAACTGGATGAATAATACTTCTCGAAGGAGCATGTTCACTGAAATGTAACGTTACAGACATACACGATATATATTTTTTCATAAATAACATTATTTTTGAAAGCAGTTTTAGGTTCCTCCAAGATAGTTAAGTTGATTCCGACGGATTAAAGTGAAAACAATAGCGTAAACACACGGCTGAGAAGGTCAACACGTCAAAGTCAAATAGTCACATAAAGCTAATGTATGCCCAGTGATAACAGCCTATTCATTAGCAAAATGGCTAGTAGCAGAGGAGTAAAAGAATATTAGCTGCATAAGGTTAAAGTTTACTTACACATCTTAACTGTTCATTGTGTCATTGGTATGACTGTAAGCTGTCTTGAGACTGTTAAACAAGTAGATGTGCTTTATTAAAATCCTGCCACAGTGAAAACAAACAAGCCTTTGACTACATGCACGAACCTCACTACATTTACATGGTATAATGGGAATAAATTGCCTTAGAGTCTACAACTCTATCTACAGTAGTTGATGCGGGGATGCTTATTTCTCCTTGTAAGTGACAGATGGGGCGTTTGACTTCTCTGATCAGACTACTCTTTTAAACTTGACTCTTCCTCAGTGTAAACAAATAACATGAATCTAAGAAACATGGTAATAAATGCAGCTTATTTTTAGGAAAATACAGATACAATACGAAATACATATTGGTCTTTCAGGGGACTTTGTTCAAGACATGGTCTTCCACAATTAGTGGGCATGCTTTTTTCTCTTAACCTGCTCTCTCAACTCATTGCTTAGTTCTTTAGCCTATGTATTGAGTGCAGAAAGCTCAAAGCTTTATTTTTTTCTATGGATGGTCTGGTGGTTATTTTTTCTAATACCAACATGTCAACAAGCAGCCTAGAACAAGGTCTTTGTTATTTAGTCAGGTTTGTGGTCTTACAATAGATGCATGTTGTGTAAGTGACTACATTTCCCTTTGTGTTTATTCACAGAGTCAGTGCAAGACCTGAAAGAACTGAGATACTGGAACTGGTGAGTAATTCAATTCAATTCCTGATGATAGATGTCATAAAGCCCAGTCCTATATTAGACTGATTGTAGAACTGTCTCTGGACAGAGATGAAGAAATGTTGTCACTGTTAGAAACAAGGACCCCCTGTTTAATTAGATGTATATTAGATACATTTTGGACCATCCAGTTGTTGATATACTGCACACAGCAGTGTAATATTTACCCATACATATATCATAATATTGCAATTTGATGATTGGTGTTCTGTCCTCACCTATGTTAAAGCCAGCAAGCCCAGAACACTCTGACATTGAGCCTGATGAGCTGGAGGATGAAGAGGAGGAACCAGAGCAGAAGACAGCCTATCAGAAGCTCCTTTCAACTCTCAGCGAACCCACCGGTAATGACCAGAGTGAAGAGGAGAGCACTGATGATGACGAGGACGAAGAGGATGAAGAGGAGCTTCTTGGTGAAGGTGAGTTGTTTAGTTCCAGCACACAGAAGAGGCCAACATATTGCAGTCGACTGAAGACTGTTGTGCTTTTTATCATAGGGGACAGTGATGGAGTTGTTGATGATGGTGAAGATGGTGACGAAGATGAAGGAGGAGAGGAAGGACCTGAGGATGCAGATGAGGCTTTGACTGAAGCAGTGGAAGGGGAAGAGACGGCAGAGAAAGAGGCAGGAGTTCAAGAGTTTGAGGACAAGGAGCACGAGTCCCAGTTCTGTCTGGAGACCAACTTTGCGGATGAAGGAGGAGAAGAGGACACTGAAAGCACAGCAGAGCAAAAAGACGGCAAAGGTAAGATAATAGCTCATAGTTTTGTCAAGTTTATAGCCCTACATTTTCTGTCCAGTAACCTATAAAAGATGCACTGTATGTGATTTTATTTTTTAAAATAAGTAAATTGAGTATTGGAATACAGTTGGGTTGAGGTATGCGTTACAGTTTTTTTCTGTATATGCAGACATGTTTGTACAGCATTTGGACACAGAACTTGGTGAAGAGGATGTGCAGAAGATAACATCTGGCAGTAAAGCCAAGGCTCAGATCATGGTAATAAGTGCACAGTTTCATGAAATGGTCCACCTTCTTTTTAATGAAAATAATTGTATGTACACTTGATGTGCTTCATTATATTTGCCTTTCCCCACATTTAGTGGCCAAAATTGGGCAATTTACTCTGTACCAATCCCCTGGAGAAGTTTGGATCCATCGGCCCACAGAAAGACACAAACCTCCCAGTTTTCCACAAAGTTTTGGAAACCAGCTGGAAGCATCTGAACCAGACCTCTGATCCTAAGGTGGGAGCTGAGGAGATCAGCCCACTGCAGCTGGAGCTGCTAGCTCTAATGGGCTCCTACAAGGACTTCTACTACCCAGAGACCTGTCCTCTGAAACAGGGCCCACAGGTTTGCAGTGCATACTGCGTCCATGTGCTCAACCACGTACTGAAGGCCAATTCTGGCGTCCTGGCTAACAACGTGCTGCTAAGGGAGCGGAAAACTCAGGGTAAAGCTGGAACTGAGCCGCAGGATGAACCCAGAGACCAAGGACTGACCCGGCCCAAGGTAAAGTACTGGTTACATTATATTTGGCTTCTTAACAGAGCTCCATTAAACGTTTCTAAACACATTATTTATTATTTATTATTATTTATATAATTAAGTTAGAATTTGAATTTATTCTCAGGCTGGATCACACTTTGAGAAGCACAACTTAATATTTCATTTAAACTTTAAGTGTTAAAATGTCTTTGTCACAAAATAATAATAAAAGTAATTTAGCAAAACCTGGAACAATCATTAGAAGTACTTGCTGCATGCAGGTCTGCGTGCCTGTGTGAGTAGAATAAATCACATAATAGTTCAGTACGTTAATGCTATCCACATAGCCACAAGGTTCAAAATGTATTTTTTCTGCCCTGTTATGGGTGCGTCAGGTCCTGATTCTCGTTCCATTCCGAGGCAAAGCTCTGCGTGTCGTGCAGACGCTCATCAGCCTGCTGGAGACCAAAGGCAAGAAGATAGTGATCAACAACAAGAAGAGGTTCAAGGAAGAGTTTGGAGAGGAGGCAGATGACAAGCCATCCAATCTGCAGAGACCAGACGATTACAGAGCCATCTTCTCAGGCAACGTGGACGATCATTTCAGGATAGGTACAGTTCAACAAACAGAAGTCGACCCACTTTTTGATAACCTAAGTCTCTCTGTCTGAGACCTTGTTGTTGTCCTCTCTCCTCACCAGGCGTTTCCATTGTGAGGAGCAGCATGCGTCTGTACGCCCCCTTTTATTCATCAGACATCATCATAGCGTCTCCGCTGGGCCTCCGTACAGTGCTGGGAGCAGAAGGAGAAAGCAAGAGAGACTTTGACTTTCTTTCCTCCATCGAGCTGCTGGTGTTGGACCAGGCAGATGTCTTACTCATGCAGAACTGGGAACACGTCCTGGTAAGAATACACACAGGTCAACATGACACCTTACTGCCAGGGATGGCATCTGTTCTGTCTAGCAGAGTTATGTTCTTACTTTTGGGAAGGATGTGGCGCCATCTGCTGTTTAACAACCACTGTAGAATCTGAAAAAATCCTTCATGTGTTTGATATGTGAACAGCCATCTCAGTCTTTGTGCATTTTCCATATTTACAAAACCGATATCTATTTTTATCTTAACAAATAAAACAACACACAGTTCACAATAAAAAGGACAGTAGAAAACAAAATGGAGGTCATTTTTATATCGTTTAGACAGCACATTAGACAGATCTGCTATTCCTCTAGATTAAGGTACTGTCCATTGCAACAGTTAGAGGTATAATACCTGATCTCAGCTGAGCACATAGAGGATCTTTGCTTTGTAGAAAATTATAAACTATATAATTCTTAACCATATTCAGTTTATATCATCGTAAAAAAAATATTCTTAACAAACCAAGTCTTTCAAAAGTTGATATAGTTAAGGTGTGTCTGTATAAGTTGATGTTTAATAAAAAATCACATCCTCCTCTCCTCTACAGCACGTGATGAAGCACATGAACCTGCAGCCGCTGGACTCCCATGGAGTGGACTTCTCCCGGGTGAGAATGTGGAACCTGAACAACTGGGCCAGACACTACCGGCAGACGCTGGTGTTCAGCTCCATCCAAGACCCACAGATCAACAACATTCTCACCAAGCAGTGCGCCAACTACCGTGGACAGGTACTGTATACACTTTACAGTTAACATTATATCGGCTCCTGCAGGGTTTGACAGTGTGTGTATTTTCCTTGCATTTGCACCTAAAAATAGATGTGTGGGAACCCGAAAAATCTTTTACGAGGAAAGCGTTTGAGTGAATGATTAAAATCTACCCTAATCTTTTTCTGCTGTGCTGCTAATCCTTAAAAAATTACAAATGAACGAGGCATATTAACGGGGTGTGGCTAATCTAAACATTAGCATGGTGACTAGTAATGACAGGGTGGCTGAGAGCAACATTAGCATCCACTGGAGCCAGCGTAGGGAGAACATAGCAGCTAACCTGCTACTTAATGGCTGCAGACTGTGTCTAAGACCGTATTCCCTGCCCTAACCAAGGTAGCACTACACAACTGCAGTATAAATATGTATGCAATACATTATTTCTTAATAAACTCTGTGTAAGATGAACATTATTTACAGTGCTCCTAGTTTTTCTGTGTGCTCCTAATTTTTGAATTTCTTTGTCCTTCTTGTGAAATAAGTTACCATGGAGCCCTGTCCTCAAACTAAATATTGAGTACAGACTGTAATTTAGTTGAACACATTACTAAGAGGCAGATATGATCTCATAGATTGAGTAAATCCTCAGTGGTTGGAGCTGTAGCCACAGTAGGTTGTTTACTGTCGTCAGCTTGATATCTGAGGAAAGACCTGTTTAGCTATCAGGCTGACTTTTTAAGAATGAAACAAAGAAATCATGGCCATCAAACTTTTGTGTGTACATAAATCAAAGTTTCTTTATTGCTATGTGATGATGTGGGTTTTTAAAAGTTAATTCCCTGCATGGTTTTTGTCCCAGATTGCTACAAAGAACATACCGAAAACAGGCTCCATCTGCCAGGTGCTGGTTCAGCTCCCTCATGTGTTTCAGATGTTCACCTCTGACAGCTTCATGGACCATGACACTCGGTAAGGTTTTCCCACAGGTGAACCATGTGATGCCATCACAGCCAAACAAATTGTCGACTCTATAAGATAGAGCAGAGGGTTCTAAAAGCTGCAGGAGAAATAAGTTGCCATTTATTCAGTGAGCTACATTGTAGGCTACAACTTTTAGTCCATATTTGTTTACATTTTAGCAAATTGACACTAGTAAAAGTATGGCGATGAGCTAATAGGACCTGTTTTCAGTGGATATACAAACAGCTATCACTGGATTACTACTGAAAACACAAAAACATAATGATTCTCAGGCAGGTTCTGGAGTTAGAAGGAGTGCCTTTTCCTCTCTCCATGCCTCCCAGTAAACTCTCACATTTCCCTCTGTTGAGGCACGTGACAAGACATTCAGTCAGCTGTTACACAATAATGTTACACTTTATTTGCTCACATCCACACACATACACTTACATAGTCATCCTGAACTCATTGTTTACATTCATATCTCAGTATTTCTTTGCCCTTCTCGGTTTATTAGCTGTTATACAGATCAGTTGTGTGTATCATCTAAATAGTTTTTTCTTTTAAGTGTTTTTTTTTTGTAAGACCCTTGTTTTTATGTCAGTAGCACATTGCTTTGCTTTCTTTATGAATTTTATCATTTGATTTATGTCTAAATTAAAAAACAAAACAAAACATAATGTATGCAGCAGCTTAAGAGATCTTGTCGAGTGCTTAGTTTATCCCCACAAATGTAAAGCTGGTTTATTTGTTCCCTATCCTGCCTGTAGGTTTCAGTTCTTTGTAGATAAAGTGCTGCCTCAGTACAGGGACTCTGTCATGTCCCACACTCTGATCTACATCCCGTCTTACTTTGACTACGTCCGGTTGCGTAACTACATGAAGAAAGAGGAGACAAACTTTGCCAGCATCTGCGAGTATTCCAGCAGGTCGGAGGTGTCCCGAGCCAGGCACTTCTTCCAGAAGGGGGATAAACAGTTTCTGCTCTTCACCGAACGCTTCCACTTTTACAAGAGGTGAGTTCTTTTTAATGTAGCCCAACATGTGAGTAGTTATGTGTTTAATTTGAAGGGGATTTTGTGTCTTCACCCAGCCATTGGTGCAGGATCAGTCAGCCAGTAAAGCTGTCCTAGAGGTCAGAGTACTGTCAGGTACAGTAGGTGGACCTAACTAACCACAAGGCTAACCATGAATAAAAGCCACTAAGCATAATGGGCACTCTGGTGATGATGAATCCTGAAATCATTCCCAGACCAACAAAAGTAAAGAACATGAAGAATGTTATCTTTAGTACCATTTTAAGAGTTAACACATCACCAATTGTTCTAATGTGAAGGAAACAGATGTGACCTCTCAAACAGAGGTTACAAGTTAGAGCTCTTACTTAAGCTGTGTACTTCAGAGTCAGAGAATTCATGATGCAGTCACGTGGCAGGGTAGTCATACACTGTAGCTTCTTTATTGTAGTTCACTGGAAATTGACACACACAGGGATATATTTGTATTAAGGCTAAAATGTTTTTCAAACAGGAATGTAGTCCTTCTAAATCTTACATGTGACTACCATAGGCAATAACGTTGGTCAGAAAATGTTTTTGTATCAGATTTCAGGCTTCTGAAAGAGACATTGTTTGGACTGTGTATTGTGTATGTGCAGGAGGAAGCTATTAAATCCTTTCCTTCCTTCTGTGGATTTATCAAAACAGTGCATTGCAATAATCAGCAGTATTTTGCAGTCATCAGATTTCATTGCTTTATCCTGCTGGAAAGTACTGAAAAAGTGTTATAAAATAATAATTCTAGCCCATATCATCCCATACTTTCATACTCTCTGTAAAAGGTATCAAAATAAATTCTGTGTGGTTATACACATGGTCTTAAATTTACTCAGTAACTCCAGGAGAAACTCTAATCTCTCATTTCTTTCTTTATCATTTAGATACACTATCAAAGGGATCCAGAACCTGATATTTTATGGACTGCCCTCCTTCCCCCACTTCTACAGCGAGGTGTGTAACATGCTGGCAGCGGGGGGTCAAGGGGAAGAGGCCAGCTGGACCTGCACTGCCCTCTACTCCCGCTACGATGCCCACAAGTTAGCTGCCATCACCGGAGCCCAGCGAGCCGGACAGATGCTCAACTCCAACAAGACTGTTCACCTGTTTGTTACGGGAGGGGAAGATAAAACGTCCTAATGGAGCTGGACAGATTAGAGAGGGACCAATTAATAAATCCATGGTACATAGCTACTGTACATTGTGACAGCAGGATGACCCTGGATTGAGTTGAACCAAAAAGATATTGAATGCAGGTCTGTGATAGTGGATTGCAATGCGACACATTACAGAGTACCTGGTTTGACATCTGAAAAGTGCACCACTTAAAAATGCAGATAAGAATGTTTTCCATTATATTTGGACAATTCACTTTCACATGCACCTGTAAAAAAACATGTTTATGGGCTTTGGTGTGTTGTACTGTAGGTGGAAGCTATCCTGAAACATCAAGCCACAAAGTTAAAAGATTATAAAAAATTGTATTGAGTTACAAAGCTTGTCAATGATCACTGTGATAAGATGTAAAAATATCACTCCCTGGTTGCGTGTATGTTAATGATTCAGCGCACAGTTTACATACTTCATTATGTGTAATATCTAACCTGTTGTTTGATAAGACAACTTATTTGTAGCAATGCCTGTCCTGACAGTGCTTAAGTGCTAAAATAATGATCATTATCAGTTTTTATGGTTGTTGGTATGATGGCATACACAAAAAACTTAAGGTATTTTAACACACTTAAAAGATCCTTAAAGGTACTGTTGGTAACTTTAATTTAAAAAAAAAATCACCTTTTTCATATTTGCTTAAACTCACTATATTCATGCAGCACTAAATAAGATAATGTGTGAACGAAATCATAGTCCTCTGCCTACTCCTTTGCCTTGGAGCGATTCTTATGGCCTAACTGCATGTGACTGAAAACATCCAATCAGAGCTGAGGAGTCTCTAAAGCAGCTTGCTATCGTCTGAGTCACACTGGGCAGCACTGATCAAATATGAATATGAAGATTTTATAACTGCATCAGAAACATACTTTAGTGTACTGTTTAGATGTAATATGAAAAACTTTGTGACACAGCCACCATGTTGTATGCAGCTAAACGGTTTACCATGCACTACTGACCAGTCGGACCAACTTTCTCATTTTACGGCTAAACAGCACACTAAAATATGTTGCTGAAATATTTGAGTTAAAGAATAGGCAATGCAGTTACAAAATCTTGATTCAGATTTGTTCAGCGCTGCCTTGTTTGACAGTTTGACTGCATTTCACAAGCAGTAATTGAAATGATTGACAGCTGCGTTAGAGACTTCTCGACTCGGTTGTTGCTGCTGCACTGTGGTCTGATTCTAGGGAGGAAGGACAAGATTTTTTTTACAGACTGACTCGTGTGCCTCTTTCAGAATATAGTGACAGTTTAAGCAAATGTAACACAAAGGTACCCTCATAAAATTTAGCAACTGTAGCTTTGATAAAGATAAGATACAAAGCAAAACACGCTCCTTTAAACCCACCCACGTAATTATTAACTCCCTGAGCTGCTGCAAGAGTGACTTTGGCCATATAATTATAGTGATTGCTCTGTTGGTAAAAGTGTCTGACAACAGGTTGTCTGTCACTGCTGTGATTATGGAGGACAAGACGCAGAAACTCAACCTGAAGCGGGAAGTAGGACTGGTGGGTGCCGTGTCCCTCATTGGAGGGACAATGATTGGATCTGGGATCTTCATGTCCCCACAGACAGTGCTCTACACCATCGGCAGCCCTGGAGCCAGTTTAGTTGTGTGGGTGTGCTGTGGTCTATTGGTGATACTGGCGGCTTTCTGCTACGCTGAGCTGGGCACTATCATAAAAGAATCAGGGGGGGAGTACATCTACATCCTCAAGACCTCAGGTCCAGTCGTCGCCTTCATGTTGATCTTCAGCTCTGTGTTATTTGTGAGACCTGCTGGCGTTGCTGGCATCTCGCTGAGTTTTGCTCAGTATGTCGTGGCTCCTTTCTACCCAGACTGCCCCCCTCCAGTGCTGGTGGTGAAGTGCGTGGCTGCAGCTGCAATTATAGTGCTTGCCACTGTGAACTGCCTAAATGTTCGCTTTGCAATGTCAGTCCAAGTGTTTTTTATGGTGGCCAAGGTCCTGGCCCTGGCAGTCATTATAATAGGAGGTGTGGTGATGCTAATCAGAGGGCACACTGAAAACTTTGAAGACTCCTTTGAGAACACAAATCTGGGCATCAATCCAATTGGTATTGCTTTCTACCAGGGACTATGGTCCTATGATGGCTGGAACAATTTGAATTATGTTACTGAAGAGTTGAAGCGTCCAGAGGTAAGTGAAGGGGTATATGAGGTTTCAGTGGAGTTACTGAGCTACCAAATAGGACCAATAAGTCATTCATGTCAATGTGACCTTGACACTGACTGTCCTCCCCAACATCGCCCTAAAAAAATAAGTAATAAATGTTTCTGAGACGTGTAAAACAATGAATGCTTATGAGAAAGGTTAATGTGTTCATCACCTAGTCATTCAAACCATAACACCACTGATGCTAAAATTTACATTAATTAATTTTTATTTTTATTAATACAGTCAATTAATGTTTAAACTTATATCAACTATACATATGATACATAATTTAGGATGGAGGCAGCAAAAACATTGCAGCCCGATAACTTTAGAAATGATAAGGCAGTCAAGGGATTTGAAAAAGGTGTCATGTCAGTCTTTTGTCTGATTAAAATAGTCTAGCAGTCTTTTGTATTAGCTTTATTTTGGTATAGTAAAAAATAACCAACATGCTGGTGACCCACCTTGATTGTCATGAAAGTGTAATTAAGCCAACTTCTGTAGTCGCAAGCTAAACAACACACCGAAATCCATGTGCACCTCGGGGAAACTCCTAAGAGCCATCACTATATGGATGTCATGCTGCTTATTGAATATGGAGTAATTTTTTTTTTAAAAAAACTATTCTGGATTTTCCTAGTTATTTGAGTCATCAGTGTGTTGCTGCCTGACCAAGTCATCGGAATCTGTGTTTAGATTTAAGTGGTTGTTAGAGGTCTACAGTATGAAGCAGCTATCAAAAACATATTGTAATTGATTTGCCTAAGCACTGACACAAAACAGCAGTCTGTCTGTTTGACAAGAATGCCTGCTTTAGATGAAATAATGCTGAGGCTATTGGGGAATAGAGAAAGTGTTGCAGCCATTACATGGTATCAGTCATTTGTTGATTTGTTATGTTTTTTGAGCACTGGGTGGCGTATGTGTGCAAAAAACTATATAGATGGGCTCACCTTGACAGGTGGCAGTGAGTGTGTTTACATGGACAGTTTAATTCCCTTTTCATTCGGAATGAAAGTTCATTCCTATTAAAAGTGATCTTGTAAACACCTAATTCGGAATGAAAATGGCCAATGCGATTGAAAATTCAATCCGATGTAAGGGGCTGGAATATTCCCTTTCTAATTCCGAATGAAAGAATTTCTCGCACTTGTATACACTCATTCCTCTTTAAGTTCATTCTGGTCTTTCTGCGCATGCTCGTTTCCTTGCCCTTCTGGCACGATGATGTATATAGCGTGCATAGCAACTGGCTGAGATAGAGCAGTCGGACTCGTTGCACTTACCGGTTTCCATTCGCCAAAGCACAATCATCTATCTCCCTTCTTCGACCTTCTACCTCCCTTCCTCCTCGACAGACGAAGCATTAGCAGAACAAGGTTGTTGTCGTACTGCTGCTTCAAGAATATAAGCAAAACAAGCCCCAAAAAGGCACCAAGAACGGCGTCGTCAAGCATCTTGTTATCCGGAGCGAGGACTCCAGTGTTTTCTTCCAGTAAACGTAAACACGTAACATCTGCCCCGCCCCCTATCCAATCAGAAACCATCCCTGCCCCAAACCTTGCGAGGACCCGAATAAAGGCGATTAAACTGATCTCCCGTGTAAACCCTCATTCGGAATGAATATTTCCCATGTAAACTACCCAGAAAGACTTTAATTCCAGATGATTTCATTCAGATTTATTTCATTCTGAATGAGAAGCCATCATGTAACTGCACCCAGTGATTGGGGATGGAGTGAGCACAAAGATTTTGACCATGCACACGCTGTTGTTTGTTGTTTTCTTGTATGATAAACAGTCCTACAAGCAAAGAAAGTCGTCTGCATTCATCCAAACTAGTTTCTACCCAGTCTAGCAATCACTCTGTGGCTTTTAGTAGCAGTAGTCACCACAGAAAGTCTGCACTGATATCTGTGAACAATTTCCAACAGGGTGTCCATCGTTTGGAGCCAAGTGTCAACATTGATTCAGTCTGCCCCTTGCATTTCTTCTTTTTTCTTCTTCTATCAGTTCAGATTAGCATGAGATTGCAATTGGTTGACCTGGGTGACCATGTCACTAGTCATCCCTGGGAAAAATTTTCAGGGTGGTTTGCACTGTTTCACCTTGGGATCTGTGTTGCCATTTTTCTCTGACACTGACACTGGAGGTTGTGCACTAGTTAAACTGATGCTTCCTTTCCTTCTGCATAGCTTCTTAAACTTTAAATTTGGTGAGAGTATTAGTTGGTGTTTTAGTGCATCCCTCTCTCTTGGTTTAGGAGTCGAGGTAAAAGGGAATGAGGATTTTGTTGGTGGTTGTATTTGGTCTGACTTGCCTCCTTCTCTTGTGATGCTACCCTGCAGATTACTCTCAGGCAACATTGCAACAGAGTCTGTTGTGAAATCTCTGACAGAGATTATTTGTGTTCTATGCTTCATGGTTTTTTTTACTGTGATCAAGGAACACATTTCACTAAAAAAAAAAGTTTCCAAAAATTCTGAAACAGTTTCATGTCTTGCATAGATATTCTTTGCCTTACCATTCACAGAGTCAGGGTGCTACTGAGCACTTCTACCAAACCCTAAAATCTACTGCACTCAGTTTAACCATAATTGGGTGGTAGGGCTTAGCTGCCCACACGAGAGGAGATACAAGAGACTACTGGTTTCAACCCAATCATTTGGATGCATTGTACCTATCTACATAGCCTAATGAATGACAAAAACCTTTACCCCCATGAACCCCAATAGATTTTTTAAATGACTTTAGGAGACAGGTTTGTGAAAATGGACTTTTTGCCTCCTGCCCCTCAAATGCAGTCTGGCCAATTATAGCGTAGCATCAGCCACCTCCGACAAGGGTCTGACAACAGCACGGCTGTGCTCCATAGACTCATGCAGTTGTTTCAGATTTCCTTCATTTTCAGGCAGGTTTTATGGATTTCAAGCTCAACATTATGCCTGGGGCACGTCGTGTATTAGTGATACTCGTTACCCGGAGAGGTTGGAAAGACATTCACATTTCTTCCCTGTTCTAAAACCACAATCACATTCTGAAGAGTGTACAGTTAGCTAGCTAGCTACAGCAAGTATAGCCTACTAAATGTATACACATGCTACTTTTGCTTTTTAATAATACAGTGAATAAAGACCTAC